TAAAGGAAGTTATATTTTAAGATATTTAAAGAATCAACAATAAAAGTATTGCGTGGTTATAGATTTATAGAGAAAAAAGAATTGAGTGATTGGTTGTTTTAATGTGATTTAATAGTTGGCCGAAGAGTGATCGACTTTGCGCGACTCAAGTAGTATTTAGTAACTCAGTTAATTCAATTTGGTTACCAGTTTGTTTTCACAAACTATATACATATAAACTAACCTGTATTTAAGGACTTTCCATAGGGTAATCTCAGTTCTGCTAGGAAATCTGAAATATTATTCATTTGACCAAATACAAACACACCATAAATATTACAAACTCCAACATTGACTCCAAACAAGTCCAAAATATATTACAAACGAACCTATCGACTACATTATTTTTACTTCACAGCCGAAATAGGTTGTTGGCACATCATGTGCTCACGGACACAGTTAATCAGGCAATGGCAATGACCGGATTATTGATAAAAGGTGAGTTCATAAGAGGGTATGAAGCTCGCATTGCGATGCCACATAAGCCTCTTGGGTTGGCAATATTGCGAGCCATCTTCATGTATCCAGCATCACCCCAAGTGTTTCCCCACGAGTTTCTCACGATCCAATAGTCACGGCCATTCTCGGTTCCATATCCGACCACAACAACTCCGTGGTTTAGGTTTGTTCCACATGTTCCATCAAACACTCCCTTTGAGGTAAAAAAAATATATAATGAGAGTTAGTAATTCGATGCTAGACTATTGGTTTCGGTCTAACCGATTTTACATTTCTTAAGATAGTCATTTTAAGTTAGAAAGATTAGTGCATTCCATATATTTCGACTGAATAATCAATGGATGTCATATATTACCGACTCGTAAAGCTGAAATTCTCGGCCGCTAGAATCGATGACAACAGTCACAGGCTGGTGAGCGACTGCTTTCAGCAAAGCAAGTTCGTCGTTTGCGGGCAAATTCTCGTACCCATCAATCATAACATTCTTGGTGTTTTCCTACACATTTTTCTTTATCTTAAGTTCAATAATTGTTTTTCCAAAATTGAAGTTCAAGAGTTAATCTCTATAACCTATATATGGTTGTAACTACTTACCTTGAGGCGGTCATTGCAAACACCATTACTAGCCTTGTAAGGATAATCTTTGTCGGTACCAAGACCACCATTCTTAACTATGAATTCATAAGCGGTCTCGACTTTGCCTCCGCCACAACCATTGTTGTCTTTGTTACAATTGATCAAGTCTTGCTCAGACAAAGTGACTAACTCTCCTGTCACAATCTTGTTTAAGCCTTCCACTGCTCCCACCGTTGAGAAAGCCCAACAACTCCCTTCACACACGAGAAAAAAACATGCATGATGCTTAAGATTTCGGAACTAAAATATCGGAAAATCATTTTGGGTACTAGTTCTATGCCTAGGCCTATAATCTCAACCGGTCGGGGACTATATAGCATGTTAGTATCGGTTTTTAACAGTTTTTTAAAATAATATTTTGTTTGAAAATATCAGAAATTGTAATGAATCGGGGATATATGACTACACTTACTGCAATGGCCTTGATCTTTGACTTCAGNCATTGCGCCTTCATTCCTCCAGTCAACGGACTTAGGAAGCACATCACCAGCACTCGTCTTGTATCGGTCGCTGCTAGTCATGAACACGTGGTTCCTAGGTGGTCTAGGATCAGCCCCGTGACAAANTTCTCCGTACTCATGGATTGATAAATCCGCAAACCGGGTCAAACCAAGCCGATAACCGAGATTCTCGGTGTTTCGGTTATTGATGAAACGCAGGTTGTCTATGAAAATGGTCAAACGGCGTTCCTTCTCTCCGACGGAGTCGTACACTTTCCCATGTTTGACCATCCATGACTCAAAGATCATCGATGCGTCAGCATCCAATATGCTCTCACGGGGGCCTGGACCAGCAATCAGGTGGTTGTTCATGGAGGTGGCACATGCGACCGTCATTGCTATCAGGAGGATCAGTAGTGTGGCTGATTTATGAGTAGCCATTCTTTTTGGTTACTTATTAAGACTTAAACCCTCAAAACAAAGAGAGAAGTGTTTTGTCTTTTGAAATTGGGCTAACATATGACAGAATTTATAGTAGTGGCGAGAGCTGGCCAAGGGTTAGGTAGCTAAAACAATATCTGGACTTTTTTTGTCCTCAGCGCGGGTCTTATTAGTTTCGACTGGTAGCATGCAGAATTGCAGAACCGAGTCTAAAAATGTGATTTCGCAAATTTTTACCAATCAAAAGATTTGCAGAATGCAAACAAACAAAAAAAAAAAACCTAAAAGCGCGTTTACGTTTTGGTTGAAAAAATACAAAGAAATCACCATTAGACAAATAAATGAGGTTCTACTAATTTTTTGTGGAAAGAGTTAAAATTTTAATTACCCTATTAATTAACCTTTTGTTTTTCAAATGTTTCAAGCACGTCAAACACAGAGTGGTATATTTTGTCTATTAAATATTTATACTTCTATATATTGTTCCCAAATTGTTTCTATTAATTTTATGGTATTCAAACATAGAGAAATCTTTTTTTTTTTAAATGTACAAAATATTGTAGCCATATAAACTATGGTCGAATTACATGCATAAGTATTTCTAGAAATGTATGATCGTGAGCTGAAATTGGATTGAAAAATATTTCACCTTCTCTTATCATTATTAAAATGTGCAACCTCTCTATTAAATCATTTATACAATT